TGTTGTGTCAACCATTTTCCGAAGAAAGGATAATTGCTAGACACACACATTCATTAATTCCCTTCCCACAACTCTTTGCGCGAGTCTCGTTAAAGCTGGCCACCAAATACAAGTACGCGTGCAAAACAAAATCATAAAACATTAATATTATCAAATGAGGTCCTTGCACTAATGCATACACCATTGCTGGGAAAGTTTCTCTCAACTAACCTATCAGGGGAGATTCTACTATGTTTTGAAAGTAGTTTACACACTGTAAAAGTATACTTACATGCATATATTTACATGAAATTGCTGGTTAATTACCGGACGTAGATTTCATAATTCCAAATTTTTATCACCATAATCTAAAAAAAAGCAAATCTTCTGGAAAACGCACAGTTTTGATAATATATCGAGCTGACAGTAAGTATTTAATTATGTTTAATCTCAATATTAATACGGTATACAACTGCGTCATTAAAAGAGCTTAAGTGCACATAAGAAGCTAAAGCTGAGATTCACCTGTATGCTCAACAGAATGGCCTAGAAAATAATATAATCAGAAATGAGTTTAATAATTTTGCAGTTGTTTTGAATGTTTAATATTTATTTCTAATGTATTATTTATATATTTTCATATATCAATTACGTCAGTTACGATAATATTTAACAATGAGCTATCTGCATTGTAGCCACTGCAGAGATCAAGCCTTGAATTTAAGTTATAAGCCCTCAAACTAATCGTTGAACTACCGGGAGAGAGGGGATGTTTGCTTGTCTGTTGTTAAGCGCAAAGCTGCACAGTGCCCACAACGGTTATCGAATCTCAATTTTTGCGTTGTAAGCCTTGAAGGTCACCCCTGAGTAGGGGCTCTCTTAAAAGTTAATTGAAACAAAAACAGTATTATAAAAATTGCACTTCATAAATACAGTGAGTTCTGGAATTAAAAATTGTACTGAGTATATAATTTAACTTCTTTCTTTGTTGCTAAGCACAAAATTGCATATATGGTTTCCGGTGGATCAGCGACAAACTTCAGAATTTCGTTTTGATAGTTGCAAACACCTAAGTAAAGGCAACAGTACGTTTTTTTTTTACCTGAAGCCTAGATATGCTCTTCATGTTGACATACTTATAGTTAATAACAGGAAAAACTATTTTCTTATGTATTATACTTTTAAGTGTTAAACTATAATGTTTAAAAATGCTTACATAAAAATAATGCAATAGTCCAGATAATTACGATAATATAGAGGACAATTTCCTATGAAACATGATACAAAATTTATTGGCTCTCATTGGCATCAGATGCTTTAGGTTTTAAAATGCTATAATACACCTCTGTTGAGCAATTTTAGGGCTAATTCTTTCGTCTACTGTCAGAATGTCTTGGGAATTGCATGCCCATGTGCCAGTTTATTACAACGCAACTACTGGAACTTGATGTGGATGTAATACCGTGAAAACTGAAGAATTACTTTCCCTTAAATATTAGTATTCTATTGCATTGTTTCAAGATAAAAAATAATTAATTCGCACCATCAACTTAATATTGTGTAGTAAAACTTAGGAAAACGTATACAATGAAATTCACCAGAGTTTGTTTTAGCGCAAAACTATACATGGCTTATCTGCGCTCTGTCCATCTCAGGTAATCGTACTCCGGACCATAACGTTGTAAGTCCTTAAATGTACAGCTGCCTGACTCACCGGGGGACAATGGTAGAGTAAAATGACCTTTCTGCAATCATTGCACAGAATCTGGGTACATGTGTTCTAATGAATTCTACGTTGAGATTTAAAAAAGTAAAAACTTTCAATTTTTCATTTCCCGACGGGCCTACTATGTGAAGGCGACTACTGTAAGAGGGTATTTTAGACAACTGGATATTCATTTCACTATCTTAAAAGTAACTGCTTTCATAAATCACAAATACTACAGTATTTAATGCTGATGAGACAGAAGATAAAACAAGAAGCTAATCTTTAGAATACATTATAACAAAATTAAACCTTAGTTATGTTTATTTTCTGAACTTCTTACACATTTTAACCGTCAATACTAGAATGAGCAACTATCGGCTCGAACGAGTGTAGATTTATTTATTTTTTTATAAACCGTAAAGTTACGTCCAATTATCAAATTCTGTCAGTCGAAACAAAAGGAAATGAAGAATGGAAAGTGATCTCCAATCGAGCCATCGCTCAAGCTACGAACCGTAGCAGTTGGAGTGTACATGTATTTGTAGGGGTCTTAGCAAGATTATATAAAAATATCAGATTTTATTATGGATTTCATTTCATTAATATTCTATCCAAGATGTTTTCTGTGTATTAGGATTTCAAAATATTCATAGACAGTACTTTCAAAACAGTGTAAGAAATCTTCTACATTAAATCCACTTGAAGAGTTTATATTTTAAAGTAACATAAAACATATATTCTTTGGCAAAAGGAAAATAAAGGCAAGGATACTACAGTGAACAAAAATAAACGAAACAAAACTATTCAGGAGAACAAAAAACAGTTTATTCTATTCTTCCATGTTCAAGCCGTTATTACAAGGGTGAAATAAAATGAAATGTCCGTCATATATACAAATAAAAATAGGACATATTCTCCACAGCTCAATTGACAGCTTTAAACATAACGATCTCACCAAAATAATAAGCTCTGAATAATTAAAACTTGCAAACACCGTCTACGAAATATCGTCTGGCATGCCAATCAAAAACATTAAAAACCAGAACTAACAAACTGATCAAAACATGCGGGATATCATTTAAATTCAGTATTAATGCCACTATTATACGTACGTCTACTACATTTTTTCAACAACATAAACCAATGTTTTTTAATTGCTGCATACAAAACATTTCATATAAATTTTCAAAAAAAGTACAAGAATAAAAAATGGAGCTTATCAAGTGCATTCAAACAATCATGTGCATTATACAAAGAAAAATATTCCAGCCACAACATTTTCACCGTCTATCTTAAATAAATATTCACCGTAAAAACAAAAAAAGGGGGTGGGGAGAAAGACAAAGGTGATAATCTATCGTATGGGTACCATATTAATAATACCGTATTCTTCTATTTAGGGCGAACTTTTGCGCGAAGCATTGAGGCCACATGGCACGAGCTCTCGCGAGGTCTTTGCGTGACGTGTCAAACGGAAACAGCTGTGCAAATAGAATGGAACTTCAAAGGCAAACAGAAAGATCTCAGTGTATTCTTGCTACAATATACCAGTGAATTTCTTATTTATCTTCTACAGTTCTGTGAGTTCAGAAATAGTCATTATTTCTTTGATGTTTCGATACTTGATACATTACAAAGAATCACTTATACCATCAACAATGATATGATTGTAATACTTTAGTGTTCAATAGTTTTTGAAATGAGAAAAAGTTACTTAAGAGGGCGTGGAATGAAAAACTGTGTGCAACAGATATACACAATTATGTAATAATATCAATATTTAATACTCCTCTTATTCATTAGTATCCTTCCTATACACGGAGTAAAAATTGAGAATACATTAGCACTTCTATATATACAGTATAAATTTTGAGAAAATATCTTAGCACAGAATACTGTACTGGAAAATCGTGACAATAAATTTTAGTTTCTTCTTGCGTTATCTAAACAGCTCCACAAATGCCTCTCTGCAACTGTAACGAATATTTACTTTTTCCTATCTTTGGCGTACACGAAACTTGGGAATGCGTTTCAACATAAAAACATTTAAGACATTATCGGCAAAACTAAATAACCATGTGATTTCAACCAGGCCTACATGAAAAAAAAAAACAAAAAAAAACATAACGGGGTGTAAATGCGCTTAACATGTTGTGTGCGGTATTGTATTTTAAAACAAAGAATGCCATCTCGTGTCATGCCACCTCGTAACAGACTCAATGAGTGTTTATCTAGGCAATATTCTGCAAAAATAAGAACACGCACAGGTGCTCATTTAGTCAAGAGTACCTAATTGTGTGGGAAGCGGAGGGGGGGTGTGTGTGTGAAAGAGATATTCATAAGTGGTAAAAGGTAAATTAGTTTGTTCGTTAAAGAAAAAAGAGGCTTGAAATTAGTTTATTTATGTGCACATGAGCGATTGTATGTGTGAGTGTGTGTATATATATATATATATATATATAGTTCACGTGCAAAAGATGCATATACATATATATAATGGAATAAATAGAAACTCCCCATAGACACCTTTGAAAGTTCGTTTTAAACTAATGATTCATTAGGAAAGAACGTTTCGATCCAGGTACAAAGTATAATGTTACGGAGTCTAATGTCATGGCTGGACTCCTAAGAAAGGCACAAGCAGAATAAAATGCTATGTTAAAAAACACAAGTAACTGATTCAGAAATTTAGTTATTACTGGCGTTAGCTAAATTCCTTAATCAGTAGTTTGTAGAAAGCAAAGGGTAAAATGAGAAGACATCTTTTCACAACTGTGGCTTGTATTTTTACATGTAAAAATCTTCATCATCATCCTGAGCTAGGAAACCGTGGCAAATGAACACGGAATAACTAAACGAAATGCATGTTTCTCAAGTTTAAGACACCTTAAATCACTAATAAATCTGTACAAAGATCGCGTTCAGCCCGTGCCCAAAGCACATAAGAAAAAATTTACAAAAAAAAAGATAACTTAGCTTATTTCTTATTATTGTTTACACGGCATAGACAAACCGCAACTTTAGGAACTACAAACTTGGACTGTGCTTCAGATAAACTGTCCTATTGTTTCTTTTGTTAGATTAACCTTTCACATAAGCAGTTCTTGAAGATTTGAAAATCAATTTCAGCATTTCACTTGGTCCTGCCCAACACTCAACAAAGTGTAAATAAATAAGGTGGGCTGTAAATTACAGTTTAACACATGGCGAAAGTGTTTTTTCCTTACCAGTAAGGAACAGGTATAGTAATGTCTGAAGAACTGCGCAGAATTTACATGTCCTAAAACTAATCAGTTTCAGAGCTTGTTCCTACCTGTGTTGTACATGCTAGGAGGAATGAGGTTGCCAGGCATCCCTGGATAGTATCCTGGTACTCCGCTGTACATGTAAGGAAACAGGCCCGATCCATCACTAGGAGATACGGAAAAGTCCATCTGTTGAGCCACTGGTGTACTGCTATGAGTAGAAACTGCAGAAGGCACTGGCACCACGGTGTCTTTGGTGTCGTCATCGATTGGTTTAATGGAAGTATTGGAAAGTCCCAATGATGTTGATGATCCTGCTATGTTTCCTTTCCCCATTGAGGTTCTTTCACTGAAGGGAGAATTAACGTTATCTTCTGTACTTGGTGAACTTGTGTCTTGGTTTAAGGACAAGCCAAGCACAGGTGAATGATGTAGTCCAGGAACACCAAGACCAGCCATCTGTTGTAGTTCCATCATTTGAAGCTGTTGCATTAGGTTCTGTTGACCTGATGTTGAAATGGTAGAAGTGGAACACCTTACTGAGGACGAACTGGTTTCTAATTTCTCCTGCTGCATGAGCTGAGATAAAGGATTTCCTCCACCAGAAGTGGAAAGAGGGGAAGTTTCTTGACTATCTTTCAACTTCTTTTGGCCCTCAATTTGGTTCTTCAGGTTTTCTATATGTTTTCTGGAGAACAAATGATCCTGAAAACTAGTAGAATATTTTGGATCATACTTGAAAGTGCAGATTTTGCATTCTTCTGCTGTATTTTTAGTCTCCATTTCCTGTCCAAAAGTCTTTGTAAAAGCTAGTATGGATTTCTTCTCTTTTGCTCGAGCGTTCTGGAACCAAACTTGAACAACTCTTTTGGCAAGACCTATTTCACGCCCCAGTTGTTCACATTCTGCCATAGATGGTGTCTTATAGTCCTTGAAGATAGACTTCATTATTGTTATTTGCAATGTACTCATCTGGGTTCTAAATCGTTTGCCAGAGTTGGCTGTACTGCGTGAACTTTGCAATTGAGATTGGGTCGCAGGAGAGGTCGGGTTACTTTCGTGTGACAAATCTTCACCTTCTCTATCTGTAGATTCTGAATGAGTCTCTGAACGTACATCATCAGCCATTTTTAAGCGAAAAGACGAATCGTCGAAGCTTCTGTCACTTAAGTTAGTAGGTATTGGGTCTATAGGTTTATCTGCTTCAACGTTTATCTTCACAGGTTTACTTAGATCAAGTGGGCCATCCTTCGTTTCTGATGTTCTCGGTAGCTGAGGTTTTACACTAAGATCTGTTGGCCCTGAAGATTCTTTTGTATAACGATTGAGTAAAGATAAATCATCTTCATATTTATTCGTGTGTTCTTCGTCTATATTTTTATTCGCGGAGTCCATAGCAGAAGGAGAATATCCTGGCACAGGAGAAGATGGGGCAAACAAGCCCGGAAAATTTGAACTATTTCCCTTACCTTCATCCTCCGCACTATTTGCAGCTTCTGAATCAGTGTCTCCGTCAGGTAAAGTGTCAACGTTTATTTCTCCTTTAGTATATTGATCAGCATGCCTTGTGGCTAAATGAGACTCTAGTGCAGATCGAGCTTTAAACAATGCTCGACAAAATGGGCACCGTTTATGTATAACTTGCTGATGAGCACGGAACTGTCCTTTTCTCTCTCGGGCACGTGTGTTTTGAAACCAAACTTGTACAACTCTTTTTTTTAAACCTACTTCTCGAGCGATAGTCTCAAGCATTTTCCGACTGGGATTACTTTCTATCTGATATTTTTGGTACAAAAAATCAAGTTGTTCTGGAAGAATTGTTGTCCTCAGCCTTTTATCTCGCGGTTGGTCAGTCGATTCCTTTGATTCTTCATCTTCTGAAAGTTTACGTTTCATTGATGGCATTGTTCCTTGCTGTGCTTCATACTGAAGCATTCCAAATGAAGAGTTTGATGAGAAGTTAGTAAATAGGTTTGGGTTCATTATATGGACAATTTGATGTTCTCGCCAAAGATCGAAACGTGGAAAAGCTAAACTACATTTATCACAACGATATGTTCCGTTTTGACAAGTAGCTTTACTTTGTTCAGGTGATGGATTGATTCCTTGATTTGATGTTGGCAAAACAGGTCGTGATCTTGATTCAGTTTCCTCTGGGGAATTTTTCATCTGTGTTACAACAGGGTTTTCATCCTTGAAACATATACTTTTCTGATGCTTAATTAGTTCATAATACCTTTGGAATACTTGCAAACACTTTTTACACTGATAGTTTAATCCCGGCGTTCTCTGAAAACGCACAGAATTTTCGTCTTCATTTGTTACTGGAGGTTGATTTTCATACATCTTTCTTGCCTTTTGTCTTGCATTTTGGAACCATACTACAATAATACGAGGACTTAAATTTAACAACTTTGACAAATAATCCAAATTATCGTCCTTTGGGTAGGCATTTGTTTCAAAAAACTCTTGTAAAATTTTAACCTGATAATCGGTAAAACGTGTTCTGTTTGCACGTTTTCCTGATCCAGAGCTTCTAGATGACATTGAATTAGGAGACAGGGTAGACTTTGCCAAATCATTCTTAGGAAGTCCTTTGTGTCCAAATGAAGTGCTGGTTGTAGCCACTGAAAAATTTACCGAACCTGATGAATAATCTGCTGAATCGTCAGTCGAGTCCTTTTGCTTTAAAATATCATTTTGTGAATTATACGAGTCACTGTACAAGGCTGGTTCCCTACTTAATTCTGAATTTCGCGATACCAGTGTCGGATACGCATCTAAGATTGAACCACCTTTGTCCCCACACTGATTTGAAGTATCTTTGTCATTTATAGCTACTTCTGGCATTTGTGGCTCACATGAATTCATGTTGTCTTTGTCAAAGAGAATGATGCTTTTCTTTGGTGTTGTAAGTTCATTTTCTTGACGTGTTTCTGTATGGTCTGTGTTGTTAAAATCACTCTGACAGTCAGGTTCATTCATTGAGAGAATTTTTGCCTCCCCTGTTTTCTCGTATTCTTCCAAATTTAAATAAGTAGAAGGAGGATTGCTGAAGTTGTAAGGAGAATCTTTATTGCGTTGTCTTTCTTTAAACAAAGTGTTTCTAAACCAATGTTTAATAACCTTCACTGTCAATCCAGACTTCTCTGACATTTCTACCAGCTGTTCTTCTGTAGGAGAATTGTTAATGTCAAAATACGTACGCAAGACTTTCAGTTGGTCATCATTAATACGTGTTCTTGCTCGCTTCTGTTGTTGCGACTGGGATAATTGTTGTGGTTGCTGTTGCAAAAGCTTCTGCTGAGAGGCAAAGTAGTTAGGTTCCATTGAACCAGCTAGCATTGGGTGATTGAAAGCGGATGCCATGAAAGGATCCACAGGGGGTGGCATCATTACTGGTATCATTGGAGGATGCATATTCATAGCAGTAAAGGGCATCCCCATGCCTACTGGTAAACCCATTCCTAACCCCATGCTCATCAACAGCTGGTTAAACTGGAACTGTGCTGCCATTTGATTAGCATTAAAGGAATCGTTATGTTGACCAGCCATGGTTGTAACAGGTGATGGTTGAGTCGTTGCAACTGAGAGACTGAGGTTCATGGATGGGCAAGATTCTTTTTGTACTTGGCCAATACTGTCTGGTGTTGATATAGGAGTTGGTGTAGCATCAGAAATACTACCTGTATCCTCTGTTTGTGATTGTCGTTTCTCGTAATGTCTTCTGTATTCTTCTACAAAAGTTTCTAGTAAATTAAATGGTACAACTTTTTTGTGATATTCCTCTTTATGAGATTTCAAAACCCACACACTAGAAAACTCTCTCTGACACAACTCGCAAACAGATTTGTTGATTTCTGGTAAGAAATTGATATTCATACCTTTTTTATCATCATTTTTCCCTCCTTCATCACTATTATCTTTTTTGTAACTACGTTCTTCCTTCTCACCTTCATCATCTATTTTCTCAGTATCCTTCTTTACCTTTTTTTTGCTAAACTCATTAAACTGCATGACTATGTCGAACCCATAACTTTCCAGAAGATGTTTATACATGAGAGGTTTGCTTCTTGGGTAGGGACACTTTGGTCGTAGCATTTGAGGGCTCATTCGTACTGATGTTTCATCATTAACTTGAGAGGGAAAGGAAAGTCTTTCTACATTACTTTCAGTGTGAGAAGAAGAAACATGTTCAAATTTGGGATATCCCAAGTCTGGTCGATGTTGGCCACAAGATATATCTAGATGAGTCATCTGTGTCGGTATCTGGGATTGTGATAAACCTGTTAGAGCATTAGAAGGTATACCTGGTGGGCCCACTCCAAAAAGTGATGAGGATGGCTGACCAAAGAAACAACACAGTTGTTGGTGTTGAAGTAAAGCCTCCTGAGAGATACATGGCTGGTGACAACGTTGACAAGTGTATGTTCCAAGCAGAGAAACACCAGTAGGCGTAAGAACTGGTGATTGAGCTAAATGGGATGCAAGGCTTAAGGCCTGTTGTACAGATGAAGGATCTGGAGGAACTTGAAATGGTAGTTGAGAAGAGGCACTGGATTTAGTGACTGTACCAGATACTGGTGCAATACAGTGAGGAACTTGTAATAATTCATTTTGCTTGGAAGGCTGAGGTGCAGGAACTGAAGTTAAAGTAGATGTAGTTACACGTGTTTCTGTCTCGAGCTTTAGATTGTTTGAACTGTCGTTAAAGTCTTTTGGCTGAGCCTCTTGGGCATGTGTGGATTCAGGTTTTTCAATAAGTGGGATACTCAAATCTATTTGCCCAGTTATGGCAAGTTCGTGGAGTTTAGAAGCTCTAGTCTGATGTAAAACAGACTTTACATGTATATCTAAAGTAGATCCTTGATTATAAGCAACCTTACAAATGTTACACTTGTATGGTTTCTTATCGGATTCACTATTACTTGAAGTACTACTTGGACTTGGACAGTTACTGCTAGATTTCGTCGTACTAGTCGTGGGCGCAGTTGAAACTGTTGTAACTGCGCCTGTACTGTTCTCTTTCATACTTTGCTTCAACTTGTGTAAGTGAGAAACAGAGTTATAATGCACAAGCAAGATGTTCTTCTGTGTAAAGGATTCCTTACAAACATCACACTTGTAAGGCCTGTTAGGATCAAGATATTTCTCCATGGGGTAGCTCATCTTCTCTCCCTTCCGATGGAGCAGAGTCTTGTTATGGCTTGTGAGATAACTCTGTCGGGTGAAAGCAACTTTACATCGATGACATTTGTATTTTCGTGTGGGATCACAGTAGCTATCTTCTGCTACGGCCTGGCTATTAATGTAATCTTCAAAAAACTGTTCCTTTGAGCTGTCATCTACCAGGTTAGTAGTTGGGTCGTTCCCGTCTTCAGTGTTTCCTTCGGAATTATTAGGTTGGTCTGAGACATCATCACCAGGAATCGACGTATCCATAAGCTCTTCAAACGATTCTGCTATATCTCTGTTGTTGTCTTTCTTCATGAGTTCTGTTGTTTGTGGGTCTAGTACTCCTGGACCACTTCCGTGGTTTGTTAGCAGAGGATTATTGGCCAGGCTAGCTTTATACTGTTCCATCTCCTCGTTAGTCATATCTATGTGAGATGTCTCAACATGTTTCTTCAGGGCTTGGATAGAGCGAAAACTGCGGTCACATAGGACACACTTTGTTGCTGCTCGGATTACATGGTACTGCGAATGAAGCTGTAATTTATCCAAGGTTCTGAATGCTAGGCTACACTGACTACAACGATACTTATATACATGACGATCAGACACTGCAAGTTGTGGAATTTTTGCGTGAATTTCTTTGAAATGGAGCTGTAGAGTTTGAGATGAAGGAAAACATTGTTTGCAACCTTTCCACCAACACATGTACCCTGATTCTCGTGGTGTTTGCTTTATTTCTATATGGCCTTTTTCGTTCTGGTGCAGAAACAGGTCATCAACATTACTAAACGTTTTAGAACAAACAGGACACGCCAACTCTTCAGCTGCCGATTCTTCTGCGTACGAGATCTCCTGACTGTCACTGTCGTCTTCACTGTTGTTACCTTTGGACTCTATACAATCTTCATTTTGAATTGCTGTTTTAGGCATATCTTCAAATGCTGACTGATCCACGAGAGCCAAAAGTCTTTTAACTCCTTCCTTGTTGACATTATGAGTGTCCACTACATGCTTTTCCAACTCTGTCCATTCTACAAAATTGTCTTGACACAGGGGACAATTCAGGGAGGCTGGTTTCTGTGAATGCTGGGTCACCACGTGCATCTGAATACGGACTTCGTTAGAGCTGGTATAATTACAGAAAGGACAGGTATAAACCTGATGGCGTACTTTGCTGCTATCTTCCGACGTGCTTGGTACGGTAGCGTTTTTGGTTTGGTCGAGTAAAACTTGTTTAAGGGCAGAACTGTCATTCCGGTCTTCCTTAGACTGCTCACAATGATCTTCACTCTTGTGAGCTTCGTTCTCTACGTGTTCCTTTAATTTTGGGGCTGAAAAGAAATAATTCAAATAATGAGTCGACCTTCAGAACGCGGCATATTAAGAATAACATAGAAATGTCTACTTAGCTGAAAAACTAACCATTAGTCTCTACGTATATAACTTAGCAAACTCTTCTGTTAACCCATCATTAGTTTCAAAGGCTTCTGAAGGACATCACGCGGCTAAATATTTCGCCTTCAGCAAGCTAGCAGTCAAGTCGTGAGCTTTTTTCTAAACATCTATCTATTCTTTTAACAAGAAAACGTATGTAATGGATCTTGTATAGGAGACATAAATAATTAGTTATTAAGTTCTCACGAAAGCAGTTAAATTTCAAGAAAGTAAACGCGAGATTTTAGTCTGAAGGCATGTCTGCTTTTTTCACCTCTCGTAGGAACACTTTTAAGAAGCACCTTAACACTAGCTATATGTACATGTGTGATCTGTAGTCTGGATATATTTATCTGACTAATAATAACTAGAGAAAATAAATCAGAAACGAATACCAATAAAACAGTTATAGGGACTAACGAAAGTGAAACGTTTATTGGTCACCAATAACTAATAAGATAAATATTAATTAGCTTTAGGTCGCTCTCATGAGCTAATTTCAATATATTAATGGCTTAGTTTTATTCAGCCACTTTTGAATACATTACAGGTGTCTTTTCCTCTTTTTTTTTAAATACATTTTTTCCAACAACCTATTAATTGGTTATTTTTGGTCAACTGCGGATATTTTCTTATAACTAAGCAATTATCTTGTGTGGGTAGAACATCTGCAATGAAGTACGATTTCATTAAGAATATTAGGACTACTTATAATAATATTATTCAAATGTAACTAATCATCAGAACCAACCTGTCCTTAAAAAAATCTTAAATCTATATTGTCTTAAAAGAGCCGATATCACCTTAAAATACTCGTTATAAATTTCATAATTCAAGGTGCAATGCTGTTTGATTTTACAATTAGAAATACTGGTGTAGTTATATGAATACTAATAAATGTTTCTGATGTTTGTTTATTATTAATCACAAAGCTACACAAAGGACTATCAGTGGTCTGCCCACCACGAGTATCGAAATCCGATTTCTAGCAATATAAGTCTGCAGACATATCGCTGTGCCACTGGGAGGGGGGGGGGGGCAAATGTTTCTGTAAAATAGGATAATTTTCATTTAAAATGTAAACGTTGTAATGGTACAGCAATAGATAAACAGTTATGCCATTTTTTTGGAATTATTTTAATTAGAATGACGTTCTTTTAAAAGATCATATTCAAATTACTTCAACTAATATACCATTCAATTACTCCTTACAATATGTCACGCTTTAACGGTGAAAATATACGTCTGCGCCTTTAATTTAATTATGTTGACTGATAAACATAAAGAAGAAACTACATTTTTTTCTGTAGGTGCTTGCCTACCTTTAAACGATGTATATATACAGGGCCCAACATTATAAGCAAGCTGACTTTATACATCTCACCATAGTACCTATCCAATTAAAGGAAATCAATTATATTATTATTATGGCTCATTTTTGTAAGAACCTTTACTGTCTCTGAACACCGATGAAACATAGCTACTTTTGTTTATAGAACGTTTCATCAAAATCTTCCCGACAAATTACTTACCCCCTTGAACAATGGCGGTGCAATTAATTTAGTAAAACGTATTAGCTAAACGCCCTAATTACATCGAACGTAATACAGAAAGAATGGCTGCATTTTCTACATGGCCATTGGTAATTACACAAACAATGAGAGTTTTAATAAAGAGAAAATAAAACTGTGTTTACATCAGTGTTTAATCAGTAAAAATCCACAGATTTAGAAGAAAAGCTTCGCTAACTATAAAAGAATAAATTTCCACAAAACATCGTTCTATAGTTTATTTGAATATTTAAATTAATTCGACAGCTTTACGCAAACGATTACGTTAAAGTAATACTCAATCGTGATGTGTGTCATTAGAAGCCTCGTAAGGAAACAACACTGATGGAACCATCTTATAATTACTTGAAATATTACAGTCGCTATTAAACGCTTTACACTAACACTACGTAGAATGTAACACCTTCAGTCACTTTGGAAAACACGTGCTTAGAGGAAGAATAATTATAAAAACACCAGACTAGCTTTTCTATAAGTTAACTGTAATAAGATCATTAAACACTACTACCAAAGGTAAATAAAATTTGTTTTTCAAACTTAGCAACTACAGTCCATAGATTTATAATTAATTGATTAAACGCTGTAGCCGGCAGCTCTCATATTCTTCTAGTCACACAGTAATCACTGACCATCTCATATATGCAATTTTTATGTCAATTTTAGTGCCATGTTTTACATTTAGATTGTATTGGTTACAATAAAAAATATTACATTTTAATTTCTCGTTCAACAATCCAATCAATAATTACATTTTGTTTACTACTACTCCAGCTCTGAATAAAAACCGAGTAGTGAAATGGGAGGGGGGGGGGGGGAGAAGGGAAGTTGGAGCATCAGTAAATATTATTTTATTTTTAGCACAGTTATCTAAGCCTCTATAGTTGGTTATCGAAAGTAAGTAAAACATATAATTGAGACATATTCTGGTTTAGTTTCCTGTAGGCTTACATTTGTTGAGTTTCAAACTATACAAAACTGCCAATCTTCGACAGTGGGTTGTGAAATTGATTATACAAAAATACTGTTTAACATCTAAGAATAAAACTGTATTTTTTAACAAAAAGTAGTCGAGAAAAGGACAATTTTCAAAATAACGACTAAAATGATTGTAACTGCTTATGTTATTAAACATAGGCGGTTGAACATATTTGAGTTTGAGGGGCCACACCGATGACTGGGTGCATTTTATGTGCTATGTTAAATGTGACCATTTAGGTCAAAACTGAAACAGCTACTTTCCATGATAGCTATATACAACTCTATCCCCGATTCAAAGGGACACTTGTCCAGAGGGTAAAAATTGGGCAGTAGTACCCCACAATGTTTCGCTGGGCTCCCATACCAGATGGAATTATGAATTACTAACTGTAAAAACTACTATAAACACCCACACATATAAAAAATGGGTTTACAAAGAAAGCTAAAAACTACTAGACAGAACTAACAAGAATAATAAACTTTTTATAAAATTGGGTGGCACATACCCCACAATGCCTCACTGGACTCCTATACCAGATTGAATTATGAATGACCAACTGTAAAAATTACTAGACAGAACTAACAAGAATAATAAACTTTTTATCTTATTCACTCAACTTTTAATTAGTATTTTACAACAATTAATTCAGTTTATTAAATATTAAAATTTTTCGTATGTTTATCAAATATCCTTATTTCATCTTTTAAACCAATACTGAATCTAGCTTAGATCAGTGAACACAAGGTCCTAATAGATCTTTTAAACCAATACTGAATCTAGCTTAGATCAGTGAACACAAGGTCCTAATAGATTTTTAAACCAATACTGAATCTAGCTTAGATCAGTGAACACAAGGTCCTAATAGATCTTTTAAACCAATACTGAATCTAGCTTAGATCAGTGAACACAAGGTCCTAGTAGAAAAAACATTAGGCTTATAGAAACTCTTTCACCATGACTTCTATGGCAAAATAATAATAAAACCATTCTGAGTTGTATTGAATGAACAAAAAAATAAGATTTCATAGTTGTTCCCTCTCTCTCCTAAAAATAATATGATATTTTGATCTTCCCACATTACCTCTACACTGAAAAACTAAGAAATTACAAAATTATTGGCAATTTCCTGACATTATTTGACAGTAAAGAAAAATACACAAATATCACAAATAAAAATAATCACTGTTTTCGCTATTTAACAAAAAACACATACAGCAAGAAACTATATTTTTAATTATTTTTATAAAAGTAGAAAACAAGTAACACAGATAAGCATTATATTAGTGAAGAAAAAATATATATGACAAATAAGTATCACCCTAGTAAAAAACAAATTATCAAATAGACAAGTAACAACAAGCTCTGTGCATCATTCTACATGAAGATAAAACATGGAAAATGTAACCCCATGTTCTTGGATTATTCCACACACACATATAATCCTAAGTTATACAAAAAAATAACCACAATATCTTAGAATAATTTTTTTGTTAAATAAAAATGAAAAGAAAAGGTTAGCACAATTATCATGCCTTATTTGACTGAGAAAGAAAATCTGGTATTCATTTCAATTGTGTTTATAGTTTGTAATATTCTTCAACTTTTGTTTGATAAATCTATATTTAAAATTGAGTAATAACTAATATTTTACATGAAAAGGCGATAAGTGAAAAAAACACTAAAGGACTGGGACTTGAATATAATAATAATAATAATACAATATAATAACTTTACTATTAAATTGGTTCCTAATGGATTTAAGTTGACAAAGGAACTAAATATGAATGATCCCAATATATAATAAAAGTTTGATTCAAACATAAGATTAATTAAAGAAACACTGGAACAAGAAACAACAATAAATACTGTCTAATACTGACTGTCTAATATTGAGGTAATCAATTTATTCACCAAAGAAATTTCAATATTTTGGTTTACATTAGCATTTAAAAATCACATATCAATTGTTTCAGTGATTCTTTATAAGAAGTACATCTCTATACAGTCATTCATAATAAAAGTCAACATCAAGGTATATAGTGTATCTCTATACAGTCAACATCAAGGTATATAGTGTATCTCTATACAGTCATTCATAATAAAAGACAACATCAAGGTATATAGTGTATCTCTATACAGTCAACATCAAGGTATATAGTGTATCACTATACAGTCATTCATAATAAAAGACAACATCAAGGTATATAGTTTATCTCTATACAGTCAACATCAAGGTATATAGTGTATCTCTATACAGTCAACATCAAGGTATATAGTGTATCTCTATACAGTCATTCATAATAAAAGACAACATCAAGGTATATAGTTTATCTCTATACAGTCAACATCAAGGTATATAGTGTATCTCTATACAGTCATTCATAATAAAAGACAACATCAAGGTATATAGTGTATCTCTATACAGTCATTCATAATAAAAGTCAACATCAAGGTATATAGTGTATCTCTATACAGTCATTCATAATAAAAGTCAACATCAAGGTATATAGTGTATCTCTATACAGTCATTCATAATAAAAGACAACATCAAGGTATATAGTGTATCTCTATACAGTCATTCATAATAAATGTCAACATCAAGGTATATAGTGTATCTCTATACAGTCATTCATAATAAAAGTCAACATCAAGGTATATAGTGTATCTCTATACAGTCATTCATAATAAAAGTCAACATCAAGGTATATAGTGTATCTCTATACAGTCATTCATAATAAAAGTCAACATCAAGATATATAGTGCATCTCTATACAGTCATTCATAATAAAAGTCAACATCAAGATATATAGTGCATCTCTATACAGTCATTCATAATCAAAGTCAACATCAAGATATATAGTGCATCTCTATACAGTCATTCATAATCAAATTCAACATCAAGGTATATAGTGTATCTCTATACAGTCATTCATAATAAAAGTCAACATTAAGGTATATAGTGTATCTACATATAGTCATTTATAAGAAAGTCAACATCAAGATATATATTATATCTCTTTTCAGTCTGTTATAATAAATGCATCACCCATGTACCAAGTATACAACTCTTTGCGTTTGTTTATATGAAGTCGACCTTAGCTATATATATTTAGGAACTTCTGGTGCCAGGCTGAACAATGAGTTATCTACACTGTGACCATCTCGAGGAACTGAATCCCAAATTTTAGCGTTAAAAGTTTCAAGCAATATATATATATATATATATATATCACATATAGGTTTTGAAAAGGAAACATAACGTATACAACATTGAGACTCTCATCTGACTCTGAAAATACCCTTAAGAAAGGGAAATGAAGAGTTGAAAGATTTTAAACAATTAATTTAAGGATCGTTAATTACAGAAGAGAGTGAGAGTACACTGAAATTACGTAACATTACTGACAAGCGTTCTTTCTCTCTCGAGGCTGGGTGAGGCCTAGTAGTTAGAGTACATGGACTATGAATACAAGGATTTATGGTTCGCGTCTCATGGCTACCAAAAACGCATTCTGCAACTTATAAAATACAAGACTGACTTCAAGTCCCACAATTCTGTCACACAAGAGTAGCCAAAGAGTTGGCGGTGGGTACTGTTGACTTGCTACCGTCCTTGTATTCTATCAGGCCGAAATTAGGAACGACTAAGAGAAGATAGCCCTTGTATAGTTTTGTGTGAAATTCTCTTGATCACATTCTAATCTAACAAGGAAAGAAACAGCATCACTTAGATTTCTCCGAAAAACCTTTTGATCAAACAATAATGTATAAAAAAAAAAGAAGTTTTTACATTACAGACAGAAATAAAATACACCATAAAAACTAAGTATCTGATCACGTTCCCTTCTACACAAATCTTACGAAATTGACTCGGAAAGATGAACGGAAGGCACGTCATCTACAAGCCGGGATTGGCCATGTGTCGTATCAACAAAATCTTTAGCACAGCAAAGAGGAGTTATTTTATAAACATTGAGCTCTCTGTATACAGCCACTAAAGAACACTATACACTATAATAACACACAGTTCATTTTTTATTTTTCTCTTTGTCACTTTTTTTTTTTGCTAAAGGACAAACTATTCTGAGAGGATTGGAGAAATAACCAACAATTTTTACTGACAGAAAAAAGGCGTGTACATATTAAGAGTTACGCAACCTATTGTTAGAAACATTGTTACTTGATGGAGTTTGCTTCGACAGAAATGCACAGCATAACTTGACTGTATACTAAATCACACAACAATATGGCAACTCTCTTTAGGCCTACTCATCTGTAACTTCTGATAACGAACATACTTATTACAATGTATAACCAGTGAGGTTATAAAACATTATGCTTAATCAATCCATGACTCACACGAAATATCTCTATAATAGTACTGTGACTTTTTGTGTCGTGAGCAGATTGGGAGAAACTTCTTAAAATACAAAGTAAGATACCTCACATCCCATTTCACACACGAAAAAGTTGATTCTTAAGCGTCATTAGGGCAGGTTGTACTACTTATACGTTAAAAAAAAACATAGTTATGAAAATATCAAAACAAAAACTTTTATTGATATAATCGTAATTATAATGGATTCATACTATATATACCAGCATAGACACGCATTAAACATGAGGAAATTATAAGTTGAGTCCGTGCATAGTGTAGGGTTACAGGCTTCTGTGTCTCTTGGTAATGGAACCGTAACTAAACATGAATTTAACACGGTGTAAAATATAGTGCCTTACACAGCTACTTATCTTTAAGCAATGTGGTACGTGAGGTTTGTTACGATTGAGATTAATTAGTCAATTTTCTACTGGTATGATTCAAAATGACCTCATTAGTTGGTATAACAAAGTATCAAGGTTTTCTGATACCCCATCTCCCTTATAAAAATTGTGACATAGAAACATTAGCATATTTAAATCAACTTATCTTTGTTTGAAATCAGTTTCAAGAAATCGAGAGTTATCACCTAAGTGGTAGTTTAAACTTAACTAAATATGTCCACCATAAAACAACATTCTGCACAATGGCTTTATAGACACTTAATGAAAACAGGAATTTCACATTGTATACAGGACTAAAACTTAACTGAACATGACCACTATAAAACAACATTCTTCACAATGGCTTTATAGACACTCTTAATGAAAACAGGAGCTTCACATAGTATACAGGACTAAACTTTAACTGAAATGGCCACCATAAAACAAGATTATAAATGATGCCCATACAAACAGTTATTGAAAAGGAGGTTCATATTCTACACAGGATTAAATCTTAACTGAAAATGTCCACCATAAAACAAAACTGAAGAGTGTTGTTCCATAAGACGTGTGAAGAAAACTTGGATAAATGATAATAATTTGACATGTCTAAATGAAAATTTTTTCTAGTTAATTTTGTAAGACGTTTCAATCATATGCCCTGCGTCAGGCAATAAAGACCGTGTTACGAAGGAATTAGGCTCAGAAATTCCATTGTAAAACTATACTGGATGCCTCTCTAGACAGTCCTAATAAAACCTCTCTTATTAGGGCACATTTTGCCTTTACTACATTGTAGTTTGTATACTAGTTTTATTTGGCTTATGTATCTTACGCCTTTTGTTGTCTAAAAAGTTGTTCCAAAATATCATTAAAAACACCCATTAAAAAAATAAACATATTAATAGGCCATTTGGAAGTGGCTACTTAATCGGACCCAACTAATTTATGTAACAGTGTTTCTTGGAGTGTTGACTAATTAAAGTGTTACACCCCCCTTCCACACACACAAAATTTTCCCCATAAATTGTGGAGGAGTATATATACACACACATACACAAACTGTTAATTTTACTTACTTTCAATTTGCCCCCCAGTGGCACAGCGGTATGTCTGCGGACTTACAACGCTAGAAACCGGGTTTCGATACCCGTGGTGGGCGGTGCACAGATAGCCCATTGTGTAGCTTTGTGCTTAACTTCAAACAAACAAAAACAATACTTTCACTTTTTAATCTTTATTGATATATTTACGTTAAAAATTATTAGAGGTTTTATAAAATTATAAAATTTTCTTTGTTTTAGCGCAAAGCTACACAATAGACTGTCTGCGCTCTGTCTACTCGTGGAATCGAGCTCCGGATTTTAGCGTTGTAAGTTACCCTTGAGCCACTAGGCGGTTGTGTTTGTTTGTTGCAAAACAAAAAGCTATACAAAAGGTTATCTGTGCCCTGCCCATTTCGGGTGTCGAAACCTGATTTTTAGCGTTATAAGCCCCCTGAATTACGCTGAGCCACCGAGAGGCAAACTATAGGGGGATAAGTTATTACAGAATTTACGACAAAGGCCTAATTTCATTATAAACCTGTAACTGAAACAGTGATAATTTATTCAAAATTTCTCCATTTATTAAAAACTCTTTTTAAAAGGTTCGATTATTAATTTCAACGAAGATTATTATCATCACTATTAACAGAAATAAAATTATTATTGCATTTGGAAAAATAATTAACTGAAACATAATTATAAAGTTGTATCCCTAAATAACACCCGTTTCATTATTTTTGAGGCTCACGTTCATAATAGTTACTATATATGTTGACAAAACAACAGACGGATAAACACAATCACTTTCATCGCATCCAACTATTTCCGCGTCGACGTTCGGTATCACTTTACTGTCACATCATATGTAATTGATGATTACATATTACGATAACACAAATAAAGAATTATATTACATCAGTAATATAACACAATATGTTTAAACTATATTAAAACAACTTCAACATTTTGGATACAGCTGCTGCGATTTTATAATAACAAGGAAGCAGTGAAAGGTAGTAACAAGAAAGAAGTGACTGTGAAGGTAATCCGGAAAATAAATCACTATTTAAAATAAACAACAGAAACTTACGAAACCTCACCATAAACATTCCTGAAATCCACCTTGAGCTATCTTTTTTCTTATAATTTTTAACTGCAATTTACAAATCTCGCTTTAGAGACTTTTCTCAAAAATAATTCAGAGGACTATATGAATTCTCTCTTCTTGAAGACGTTAATTTTTGCCGTATCATAAACTGATTCGCTAAATGGTATTAGTTAAAACTTAACACTGCCTCTCGCTCCAATCATTGTAATAAATTGTGCGTAGCATTGTTTTCTTTATTTTATTTAAAGTGAAAACATACTTGTAATAAATTATCTACTACTTACATGTTTCTGAACCTAGTTCAGATTTACTGTTTCCTGAAGGTACTTTCACCATTAAGATGTCTTTGAAACTGTCTTCTCTTCCATGGTCGTCCGCACTTCTTTGCATTTGTCTCATGCTCTCGTGTTTCACGTGTTCTAATGAACTAACATGTTGGATAAGCTTTTGTTTTGTGTTAGTCGAAAAGTTACATAAAACACAGTGGTAAAACGACGACTCAGAGTTCGTGCTGGCTTTACTAAGCTGGAGATGCAGGAACAATCTAGCGCAGCCCTCGTGCCTCTGGCTATTTGTGTGGATTTGAAGTTTATGAACGCTGTTGGTGTAATAATCACAAGCGTTACATCGAACTTGCACTGGATTGCTCATATTAATGTATTTGAGCTTCCAGTCATTCCTAGGGCCACCTTCTTTGATGTGGTTAACATGCTGGAGACGTTGAAGGTGTTTATCAGTTTTACTATGTAGCATGAAGTTCGCTTTCAGATTGGTTTTGTAGGAACACAGTTTACAGACGAAGTTTCCAGACACCACCATCAGCACCTCGTCTTCTCTCTCTCTAGATCGGTCCTGCTGAAGATGGTAATTCAAACCTTCCACAGTGTCGGTTGAGAACAAACTGCAGATACAACACTGGAACATCTTAGAATCGTCATCATAAGGCATGTCTGGAACAAGGGTGGGGTCAGGGTGCTCCATGTCCACAGTGGGAGTGGCATTGGAGGTTAGTGGAGGTATTCCAGGGGGGCTTTTGCCTGGACCAGAGGTAGCAGCGGCTGCTACTGCCATCGCCCTCTGTTGTTGTTGTTGCTGGCTGGCCATCATTAAGAGTGCATGGTTGTAGTACATGTCAGCTAGAGCAGCCTCGGGTTGCAGCTGGTTATCATGTGGAAGTAGCAACCCCGGATGGAACTGAAACATTGGATCAAGAGCTTGGGCTTGCTGAAGAGCTGTCAAATGTTGCATATGTTTCACGTTTTGCTGCAACACCATCATGTTATGAGTGTGCTTCTCGCTGGTCATGTGAATCCGCAAATTTCGGGCAACATTAGTTTCGTAGTTGCACACATCACAACGCCACGTCGCTTTCGGTTTATTTGGAGACGGCCCTTTCTTGGGTTGTTCTTGAACATGGGCGTTGGATAATGGTTGGGGCTGGACTATGTGCTCAGATGAAATATTCCCATTTTGCAGCTCTTGAACGTTGTTTATGTGCTTATCAGACTGCATATGGATACTGAGGTTTCCCTTCGTAGTTGTTGAGTAATTACACACTTCGCATCGATATGGTTTGTATCCACATGTGTACGTTTCTCCACGAGTAAGCCTCGGGTGTGGTTGATTTGTAATACAGTAGATACAGCTCATTTCATTTTCAGGGTGTTTTTCTTTCATGTGAATTTCCAATGTTTCTTGATATTTATAATGCCAATTACACTTCGGACATTTAAGAGTTTTACAAGAGTTTCTGGAGTGCATCATGGTCATATGACCACCCAGGGACCTTGAGGACCCAAGAATAACGTCACACTTCGGACATTCTACACCGTTCGTCTTACCATCAGGGTGTTGGGAACAGATTCCCATCATGTTACCAATTCCAAGCCCAGGAGAATGGCTTGTAGCTAAGCATGAATTCGGAGAGATTGAAACTTTTGGAGAACTACACGCTCCAGGGGATATGCTGCCCCCACTGCTACTGCTAGTTGGTCTATCTGCTGACGTTACTCTTAAATGAGATAGAGTAGGGCTTGGAGAGTCATGAATGTCAACGTTTTGTTCTCTTCTATTTTCTGTCTGGAAATTTCTTCTATTCTGATCCCTATAACTGGGAATGTCTACCTCAGAAAAGGATTTCGCTTCTGCAGCTGCAGCAGCTGCTTTTGCTAATTTTTCTATATTTGCTAAGTCCTCAAGTTCTGGGGCTAAAGACTCCTCACTGGTTTTTAGATAGTCAGAAGAGTTTCCCTGATTATTTTGTTTTGTTGTTGGATCAATCACAGATTCTTTGATGTCCCTGACTGATGCAACTGGGTTTAAGCATGCGGGGACTAATGTTGTGGTTACTGAACTGTTTATAGATTGACAAATCACACTAGACACAGCACTATTGACAATGCTTAGGAGAGAACTGACAGCACTTGATGCTGCGGAGGAACTAGAATATGAGCTATGAGCAGCTTGGTCATAGAAACTTCTTTGAAAGTGGGGTGTTTCATTGACTTCCGCTGCTTTGCTAGGAATAGGTTCGAGGAATGACAGAAGTGGTTCTTTTTCTTTTCCCACTCCTTGGATGATGGCAGAGATGTTCTTTTGTGACAAAATTTGTCGCTCTTCTTCAAGGAGGGCGATATTATGTTCACCACCAGCGTGAGCAACAAACGATTTGGCATATGCAAAGGATAGTTTACATATAAAACACATAAGAATAGGTTTAACCGGAATTGAAGAATATTCTAAAGAAGGAATCTTTCCTTTGCTTACATTACTTGTCCTTTCATCAGGTCCAAAGTTTTCATTTTTATCGTTACAATTAGTCTCATATTTCTCTCGTAAAGTAAACACCCTATAACAGTGCATAATGGGTACTTCAGGAACTTTTTTATTCTCTTGAAGGAAACTGTAGGCTTGGCCGTACAGGGCACTATAAAGAGCACGGTTCTTGGAGATGTGAAACGCATTCACCACTTGAGGAAAAACCCTGTACTGTTGGGGAGACATCTCCCGCGAATCAACAATGCTGCCTTCTTGCTGAGGTAGATCTAAGCTACATTCTTCATCACTAAACTCGGACTCTCCCTCAATAATGAATGCAGATCCGTCAGGGTTATACACTATCTTCCCAGTAAATGTCTCCACTTCACTATCAGACAGTTCAGTAGCAACCTCCGTGATCTCCCTTCCCGAGACCTGGGCTGCATCTTCATCCCTGGGCTCTTGAGGATCACAGTGATGGTGATTTAGTGTCGAGCTTAATTTCTGTCCACAACTCTCACAACTGTTAAATTCCACCAACTTCGTGCATGGAGCCAAGTTGGTTTCCTTACTTAGCTCCTCTGCTCTCTGTTGATCAACAGGATTGGGAGGATTGTCCTGGGGCGTCATGCTACCCAGACTATCTTTAGGTCCCAAACTACCACTAAAAACTGAAACAGACTCACTGTTCAAAGACTTTGCTTTACTGGTTACCGGTATTTTTTTATATTCACTCTGCCCTGTGTCCATAATAACATCCGGTTCATCGGATTCCATTGTCGTGGGATGACCCTGGTTACGTCATAGTGTGGCTGGAGATGCACGTCTGTAATTATCAGAACACCATAAGTAAATTCTTCTATAACAAATCCACACACAAACAAATATAAAATATTTATATAGAACTAACGACATTTCATAATGAAAAAAAATTTATACCTCAAGAAAGCGGTTAATCAGACAACAATATAGATAAATGCGGATAGCAACATAAAGACAAAGCAAATAATATAAAACCTCATATGTACAACAATACAGAATTTACATTTTATTTTAAATATTTGTATTTTCCACCACTTTAGTTCTCACCCTGAAAGAAACTATGGCAAAGTCACCTCCAAACCTCTCCAAACGGAGGTCAACCTCGCTATTAAATTAGTGGCTGTCCTCGCTGCAGGGTGTCATTGGGGAGGGAGATATAATGATATGCAACAGGTGTACAAACTACACATAATTCATTTAAAGTCGGCCCCAGTACTTGAAACAATAAATAAGCATAACATTCCACTGCTGCGAACAGGAGAGAGTGTATCAATGAAACGCATATGTACTGGTTTTATATAAAACTCCATAGGCGATATAACATTTTTATAATATCTAAGTTGTTGGTATGAGTAATAAATATACAGATTGCAAATTGGAAATAACCAAGTGTATTGTATTCACTTCCAGTGGTGACCCGATTTGTATCGTCCTATCTGTGGGTGATTCTTATAATAATATCATGAACCTTTATTCATCCACACTGACTTTAAATGTATATTGTTCACGTAATGATTAAAAACTGCTAAGAACAAAGACATTGTACTTATGAATTTCGCATTAAAAAATACTTTTTGAGGCCCTTGAAACAATCACAGAAAATATATTACCATTTTGGGTTCTTACATCTCTAGTTCATTCAAATTAACATTTTAATTTGAAATCGTAATAAGTAATAACTATCAATTTAGGAGAAAAACAACAACAAACATTAGAAGTTCACAAGATCATAAAAGTGCTGGATTGCTTATTATTACGTCATACAGAACAAACTCGTACCTTTCTAATATATCATTAAAGGATTCACTATATAACTCCGACAAACAACCTTAAATCTGGAGCTCTTTCGGAGAGTGGTCAGAAGCAAAAAGACCTATAATAATTTTGTAGAGATCCACAAAGCTATTTCACTTCAAAATGACCAAAAGACTCAATTATCTTAAGCATTTCTCATGGATTACGTTCTGACTATTTATAGCCCTAGAAGTATATTGCACTAAAACCACAGCCAGAAGAATTCCTTTGACAGCAAAAAAGAAAAAAAGAAAAACTACTTGCGTTTTCGAGCCGAAATTAAGCAAGTAATTCAGAAGCTGACAGCAGTGTAAAGTACGTAGTTTACATACGTACTCAAGTGCAACCTACCTTGCCTGTGCCAAGTGTTAGACTCGGAACATTTCAAGCAAATTCTGCTCCCACACTCAGCATGGTACAGTGAGCGAGTGCCAGAGAAAAAGCGTTTCAGTAGAACAAATAAACAAGCCTTATCAAGGTTCAGTGCAGGATGCCACAACAGAGTAAGACTAAACTTTTGCTTAAATGCTTACATCTAAAGATAAGAACAATGCTCCCTTCTTCACTGGCATGACCGCCTCTAACCATTTATAATTACCATTATCAACAACTACGTCGTTTTAACGAACTTTAATTTTTACCTGAACTGATTTTCAAATCTCCTTTTAATCTGCCTAGACAAACAACGCTAAAAAACGCCCAATGAAGTCTTGCTCAGTGCACCGTACAGACAATTTCTTTATGTTAACTAGAACAAAAGCTTGGCTTACAGGAAAGCACGTTGACTCATAGAACATCAATTTTATTAAACTTCCTTTTTGGATATTTACGTACAACAGATAAAAATTAGCTATCTAAGAAGAATGTTCATCTTTGACGCTCTGACAAAACACAACCTAATTATGTTAGATATATTTCCACTAAGATTAACAAAGCAATTAAGATTCCCAAAATGAAGAAGCGTTTATACATACATAACTCTTTACAAACGGCACCTAAACTTATAGCATATGTTTTTTGCGTTTGTTCTGAATTTTGCGCTAGCAATTCCTAATTTAGCAGTGAAAGACTAGAGGGAAGGCAGCTAGTCATCACCACTCACCGCCAACTCTCGGGCTACTCTTTTACCAACGAACGGTGGGATTGACCATTACATTATAACACCTCCACGGCTGAAAGGGCGAGCATGTTTGATGTGACAGGGATTCAAACCCGCGACCCTCAGATTCCGAGTCGAGCGCCTTAACCATAGCATATGCACACCTCTATCAACATCAAAATATACTTACTTGCTCCATAAAGTAAGCAGTACAGTTATCATCCAGCGTTTTAAGGCAAGTTATTAAAAAAAAAAAAACATTAACAGCGCCGAGATTATACACCAGTACTAGCAGTACTCCACTTTTCCTGAAGTATTGTAGTTTTTAAATTTTATAAAACTCATCCTTACAATGGTAATATTGCACAAAAGACCATTCAGGACTTCCTTCATTACTAAAGTCTGCCTTAACATAAGAATGCTTTAAATATCAAAAGTTCATTTCAATGTTTGTATTTAAATGTAACACATCCTTTTAGTTTTGAAATAACAGTCAATATTAAACCCATTTTCAATCAAGATGAAAAAAATATAGAAACATATACAATGTGACGTATCAACCAAATTATATTATTCTCACACAGATCCAAAGAACAGTTCAACCTTTGACTTGATACATTTCAGACATTATTTGATGTTTCCCGATATCACAAAAAAACTTGATTTCTAGTCATAAAAAAAACATTCAAAGAGCTATTAGAATTACATTTTTGCCAATTTAAACTATTTTGGAAACGATAGCCACCGACTATATGATCCTCGTTTTCACCATGAAATGATTATTTGTAAATTTTAAGCACCCAATATCAGTCACTTCTGCTTCTAGCAAAATATTACAGGGCTTTTTGAAACATCTGACCCCAGCTATAATTTTGACAATAATATTTGTTGACTGGTTCTTTTGAACGATAAATAAGTATTCTAACACACTCTCCAGTCGCACAGCGGTATGTCTGCGGACTTAAAACGCTAGAAACCGGGTTTAGATACCCGTGGTGGGCACAGATAGCCCATTGTGTAGCTTTGTGCTTAACTACAAACAAACAAGTATTCTAACACGCCGTTATTTTCTGTCGTTTACCTGGAAATCCGTTCAATTATGAATTTCAGTTACCAAATGGTGATTACTGTCATACACTCAAAAACACTGCGCATTAGCTATATCCAAGGTTAAGACTTACACGTCGTTTGTTCGCAAGAAAAGTGTGGAAAACTTTCAAACAACAGCATAACTTTATATATAAATACTCATACGATAAAAAGCTGACCATGCAGCAGAAATACAGGAATCACGTGCTTCTATTGACAAATAAGAGGTCCCTATTTGAAGTGTTGTTGTCATCATATGATAAAAGTAAGTCACACTGTATAAACTTACATTATGAAACTAATTTCGCATTCAAGATACTCTTCTTCGCCTCCCAGTGGATCAGCGGTGGGCACATCAAAGTTAGCCCATTGTATAGCTTTGTGCTTCACGAACAAACAATACTTTATTTCAGAAAAAAATTAAAACAACAAATGCATTGGGATGATGTAACAGAAATATCAATCAAAGGAAGGGAATATCATGATATATTATTTGGGTTAAAATCGAAATTTACACAACTGATAATTCAATGCATTTTAATCGTTATAAGTTTCAGTGTTCTCTGTACTGTGTCATGACATTATGCACTTCTAACAGAGTAAGTTGACTTTATTTTAAAGGTTACTTTTTACCTATGTAGTTAAGTTACTTTTGGTCAGAATTTCTTAATATGATGACAGATTACCATTTTAAGAATGCCTTACACAAGCTACATGCAGTATGTGACAAAAATTCCACAAATATGGAAATGGTCTTTTTTTGTATTATTAGAAAGTCCCGGTTTCACAAGTTAAAGCATATGCGTGAATCCTTGTGAAGAAGTCTTCCATGTGGTGCGGTAAGATCTTCAAACTTGTAAAAATATACAAAAACGACCAGTAACAGACATTCTGCCATACCCAAGAAGAAAAAAATAATAATATGCGGCGGTCCGTTTGGGCAATTACCAACAAAAGTTTCACTGCTAAAGGAGGTTGTTTCTTTTTTCGTGGGAACTTCACTACAGTGCAGTGGATTCTAGGGTTTGAAATCAGTGAAGCCTGTCAAATTTTCAATTCCCCTCGGCCCTGACTTTGTTTGAAGACACGATACAAGCTATTCGAAAAGATTTCTTTGAAGAATTCCGAGAACAAAGACTTTAGTGAAAACTCCTTGCACCCCTTTACCCTCAACCAGGTGTGGCAAGAGAAATGTGCAGGGAGATGTGGCCAATCGTTAGATTGGTAAGATAAAGAATCACGTGACAGGAGGATCTGAAGACAAAACTCCTGTATATATAGAAAAACTAAGCTGTTTACAAAAGTATAAGATCCCCCACCCACCGAGTATACAAAAGTGTGTCTACTTTCTCTAACCAAACTCTTATTTTCATATAAACTGGTAAAATGACTAGGGCAAATTAAAGATTGTCTGTCTTATTTGTTACAACTTGCTAGCAACAAACTGTAAGGCGTATAACGGGCCAGACAAGGCTGTACACAGTCACTGGAGAAATGATCTCGTATAGAGGACCATTTTTATAAATACCGGTAGAGGGGTCAACACTACGTGTCAAGCAAAAAAAAAGTGTTTATAGATCAAATATAATAATAAAAAACTCTGACAAACTCCATTCAAACATCTTACATTGAAAACTAAACGGACACTCAGTAGAGCGCATACCTCTGCCACGCAGCGGTGATCATATTCGGCCCTCAAAAAAAGTACGAAAATATGTCTGCATGTCCGTCGTTATTAACCAACCATTTTTGGAAGGACAATGAAAAATAGTATTCTACACAAGTCCGCCAAGTTTCATCAA